TTTGAAAATGCATACACTGTAACAGATTTTTCAAAAACATGATGGAAAATATATACCACCCAGCTAAACACTCTCTTGATTTAGAATCGAGGCCTATATGTTTCTATTTCCATAGTGACTATTGCTGTGGAATCGACATGTTTTAATTTAGATTTGAGATTATAAACATCATTTGGAGACAGAATTTATTTTCTCTCCTACAACTTCTGAGAATTGATCAGTCTAAGTGCGACAGAACAGAAGCAAATTCTGGAGCAGGATTTAGAAATTATCTGGCTCAAGGGCCACTGTGACTCACAAAAGGTGAGTATTTACAGAAACTCAAAGCTCTTTAATTCTTCAATTTTTTTTTTAATTTCATACTTAAAAAAAAAAAAGCCACGAAGTGATTAGGTAAGTACAGATTCTGTAAAGATTTCTGTCTACAATTCCTGAAAAGTTGAAATGAGACATTTTATCTCTACCCATTTATCTAAGAAGACTAGCGAGGATGTGACTCATATTTGGGTCAAATAAAAGTTAGCAAACCAAACTGCTAATGAAGGGAAAAGGGGAGAGCAAATTATATTCATTTACTCATTTTTTCAGTGACCTTTTGGGGAACCCCTACAATCCCTGTATTCGGGGAGCTTGCAAAGGAGGGTGGGCAGAGAGGAGGAAGCCAGCAGTGAAGCAGAGGCTGGTAAGTGACAGAGAGCAGCTTCAGTGACAGAGCAGAAAGCACACAGGGGGTGGTAGCAAAGTGTCCTACGATCTCTGCAAAAGGAAAAGCATTCCTACACTCAGAGGAGGGGCTGCTTCCTAAAACTCAAAAAAAACAAAAAGCAAAACAATACCTCAGATGACTCTATTTAATATGGCAGAATCATACCACCCAGCTGGCACAAAAGCAGGCACCATCCCACATGGTGTGATACACAGTTATTAAAAAGCCATACCAGGGGCACCTGGGTGGCTCCGTTGGTTGAGCGATCCAGGCGGCTCTTGATTTCAGCTCAGGTCACGATCTTACAGTTTGCGGAATCGAACCCCGCATCAGGCTCTGCACAGACAGTGCAGGGTGCAGCCTGCTTGGCATTCTTGCTCCCTCTCTCTTACTGCCCCTCCCCCATGCTCACTCACCCACACGCTCTATATAAATAAATAAATAAGTTAACAAAGATTAAAAAAAAAAAAAGCCATGCTGAGTGCCTGGGTGGCTCAGTCGGTTAAGCATCCAACTTTTGGGTTTGACTACAGTCATGATCTCACCGTTTTGTGGGTTCAAGCCCAGTGTCAGGCTCTGTGCTGGAGGGCGCAGAGCCTGCTTGGGATTCATTCTCTCTCTCTCTCTCTCTCTCTCTCTCGTTCTCTCTTTCATGCCCTCCCCACTTGTGCTGTCTCTCAAAAAAAAAAAAGCCACACTAATTAAGGCAACAACTGAACAGCAGCATTTAACTTTGGATGAATAAGGATGAAAAATGCTTCATAAATCCGTTCTCTTCAACTCCTTGTAAATGCTTTTTTCTTTTCTCTCTTAAGAACAGAGATAAATCTACGGGTGTATACTTACACTGAGGATTACTAGATGACTCACATGGGGCATTTGGAAAAAGGAAGCAGTGTTGAGCCAAGCCTTAAGGGTGCACACAAATCAGCCACCTCCAGGAGGGGAGGAGAGCTCCTGAAGGGCAAAGTTGGATGTGGCTTCTAATGCCTACTCAGCTAGTAACAGTCGGGCAAAACTGGAGCCTTTTCCCCAAGTGATAGGACAATATGCCTTGCAGGATGGAGAGAAATAAAAATCGTGTTGATAAAATTCCCTGTGCCTAATAGATGCCAAATAAATTCAAATTCTCAGGGTAGAATATCAATTCTGTTAGGTTTCTGCTCCCCACTTTGAGTGAGAGCATACAAGCAGAGACAACTGCAATCCGAACCTTGTACATCATTTTCCTCACGATTTTTTCAAGGAGAAGGCATGTAACTTTATCCCCCCTCGATGTGATGAGTGCCTACAACATGCCAGGCACGGACCTGGGCACTGGACATAGGCTGATGACAATGTGGCCCCCACTGTGGTACTTCCAGTGTATCTGGGAGGAAACAAGAAAGGAACAAGTACATACGTGATTTGTGTAAGTACTAGGAAGGGAAGGAAAGGAAGAATCATGGAGTCAGTGAGCGGGGAAGAACATAGGAAGAACATCTAGGATAATGAGGGGAGTGAGGGGAGACACAGGCTCTTTCCCAGGATAAGTTTTTTTCTTTTTAGGTTTATTTATTTTGAGGGAGAGAACGTGCACGTGGGCACGTGCACAAGTGGGGCAGGGGCAGGGATAGAGGGAGACAGGGAATCCCAAACAGACTTCATGCTGTCAGCAGAGCCGCACGCGGGGCTTGATCTCACCAATGTGTGATCACGACCTGAGCCAAAATCAAGAGTTGAACTGAGCCACCCAGGCGCCCCCAGGATAAGCTTCTTTGTAGGTCAAACCCACCCCTAGTGTTACTACGCGGTCTGTATTATTGAGCCCATTCCTTCCCGAGAAAGGCCATTCTGAAATAAGCTTCAGGGTGGATGAGAAGGAACCAGCCACAAGAAGAATGAGGTAGAGTAGGGGCAAAGGACCCCCCTCCATGGGCTGAGTACAGGGAACAGCATGTGCAAAATCCCAGACATAGGAAAGCTCAAACAGAGGAAGATATCAGCCACTATTAAAACACAAATCAAACAAACAAACAAACAAATAACCACAGAGGGAAAATGAAAGTCTCCCAAATCTCTTCTCTCTACCAGACACGTTGGCACTTATTTTCCCAGAGGATGGCACGTAAAACACTGCCTTGCAAAGCTATCGATTTCCCATGATCTAACCAGAAGTGATGTGATGAGTACTTTAAGCTTAGAGCAGCCACTTGTATGTTCTACAAAGCCCCCCTTGAGGGATGCAAGTGCAAACATCAGCACCTTCTTTCTCCAACACGACACTCCTTTGCAGTAGACAGTCAGTGGTCTTATGTCAATTTTATAGATCTGAGAGAAAACCCCACAGACGCTGTGCATCTTCTTCAAATTAATCTTAGATCTACAGTTAAATCCCACATTTACTCTGGCTCGCTCAAGGCATCCAACGTTGCTCTGCCCTCATCCCCAGAGAAAACCTGCAAATTTATTTTATTATAGATGTATAACATATGAGACATTTATAGGAGAGAAAACTCTGGCCAAGAGGACACTTTTACTAAAAGCCATGCATTTTCATGAACCAGATGAACCAGCCACAGTAGTCAGAGGGCTTGGGCTTCCCGCATTTCTTTTTCCATGAACCCTGTGCCATGACTGAAGTTGGCTGGCACCTTCTAGTCACAACCCAAGCGATGCTAACCTATAACAACTTGATCAGTATGTGGGCTTGTGAGCACATACTTCACAAGATTCAAAATTGAAGGGCTAATTTGCAAGGAAATCTATAAGAAAATCGGATCAAGGAAGCAGTTCTATTTGTGTTCTGGTGTCTCTTGAAGACAGCAGCTGAATAACCCCCCCCCCATTTCCTTTTTGCCTTAGCTACCAGAAAATTCAGGGTCTATCTAAGCCAGTCTTCTAAGTAACCCTTGTAGCTTGCCTATTTTTCTATTTGTTACCTCGATTTTCTACTTGATGACCTTATTCAATATATAGTGTCTGGGGTAAAATTATATTGTGGTTTTTTTTTTTTTTTTTCCGAAAAGAACAGATAATAATGCTTCCTGCCCCAAATGTGCACTAGGTTTTAGGATCTGTCTTCTTCCAGGCTCAGAACCCCCAGGAATTAAAACCAGCCTTCTTCCCATCTCACTGCTTGACCCCAGCCAACTTTCTTCCTTCAGTCTATGTGAAGACATCCTCTTGTATTGTGTACTACACTAAACAAATTGTTCCTACATTATAGGAATGCTGGGGAAAAATAACGAGATCATATCTTGAGTACTCTTCCTTCCTTTTCGGGGGGAACGAGAGGGGAGGTTTTTGTTTATTTCCCCAGCTTTAGTGAGATATAACTGACATATAACATTGCATACAACTCGTCGATTTGCTACACGTATATTTTGCTATAGGATTACCACCAAAGCCTTAGCTAACACCTCCATCAAGTCACATAATTAACATTTTGTGCATGTGTGGGGTGGGGGAGGTGAGAATATTTGAGATCTACTCTCCTAGCAACTTTCAAGTATAAAATACACTATTATTAATGATATTCATAATACTGTGTATGAGATCCCTAGAACTTATTCATCGTCTAACTGTAAGCTTGCAACTTTTGACAAACCTCTGCCCATCCGCTCTTCCTCACCACCAAGAAGTCCTTCTACACAAAATAATCTACATCTCAACACTGTTGTGCTGTATTTTTAACGTCTTTCTTCCCCAAATTGTTTGAGGCAGCCTCAGTCCCATCTCACTCTGAATACCCTAGTCTGAATATAAAAATGTGGCGTGTAGGTAGGGTTATAGGGTTTCCTTCCTCCCAAACTTTTTCAGGTAGCAAAGCAGGCCATAGCTACTTGAAAGGTTCTCAAAATTAAGCGATGAAATTCAGGTAGCAATAAAAACGCTAGACAAGAAAATCTAATCTTGAACTTCCGATATTCTAGGGACTATAAGGGGAAGGTGAGTCACGGGTGGGAAGATTACTAGCCAGCACCTTGGGTTGTAAGTCACAGAAAACAACTCTAGCCAATTTATGTGGAAAATTAATTCATTGGAATGTTATGTGGGAGCTGATAAAGAAAAAGTTGAAATACCAGGTTTGGAAAAAGTTGTAATTCCAAGGCAACTGTATGTGTAATTAGGGCAACTCAGGATGTGTTTAAGTAGCAGGCTGATCCATAGTCCCCTTGGAATGAATGACCATCAGTTACATGTAACAGTATCCCTCGGCTCAAGGGTCAAATTCTAAACAAATCATCTACATGACCTGGTTTATGCCCCCTGTTTGTCCCTTAGCCAGTGGATGAGACACAGGGAGCTTTCTTCACAGTTCCAATGGTCTGTGCTCAGCGAAGGGCAGCTCCTTCAAAGCAAAATCAGAACGCTGATAACCAAAAGAAGGGAAAAGGGATGATGGTCAGGCAAAAACGAACAAATGAACCATCTTTCTGCTTCTGAGCCATTCACTAGTGACAGTGATGGGCACCAAGAAATCGTACAGACCTCATCATTCCATGAGCCGTGTAACACTTCACTCTTATCGTTCCCCCTCTCCTGACACCACAGCTAGGTCTCTGACTCCTGTGACTTCAGGAAGTGTGACAGAAAGAGTGGTATCCTGGAAAGCTCTCACCCAAAAGTCTGTTAAGAGTCTCAAGTTCCTAAGACAAGCAACTACCTCCTTGTGGAAAAATATGGCCTACCCAATATAACTGTTAAACAGTCACATTTAAGTCAAGGATGTGTTGCTTCGGTGATTCCATCTGGAGACTTGGCTGGGAAACACATGCTTTAAAAACATGGCAGCAGTATCTCTTTCTATAAATTTTTTCACTTTGATCAATTACCATGCCATTCAGTGGGAAAAACTGTATGTGGGTCAATGGCCTATAGCACCCACTGCCCAGGGATGCTCTTTGTTTTCCGTAGCATACCTTGGAAAACTCTTTTTTGGAGTCCCAGGCAGATTTGAGCTGGTCCAACCACTGGGCACTTTGGAGCTGTGGGGAAGAGACTCTTTTTTTAAAGTCCAAGTGGATTAATTCTAGGGTCCAACTTGAGTTGTGTTGATGCTTCTCGTAGTTTCTGGGCACAAGAGGTGTGCCACACTGGTGCTGACCACCTATTTCAAGTAGTCTTGTCCCCCGTTAAGTCCTATTAGGTCACTCTCTTCTAGTTCCTTCCTGGTGTTTCCCATCATCTGATATTATTTCCTGACTCCTGGTTTATTCGTCTTCTGTCTTCCACCACTAGGATAAAGATCCTCCAGGGTCAAGTCTGCCTTGTTTACAGTTCTTTCCCCACAAGTCCTGGCACACGGCTTTCAATAAATATTTGTTTTATGACTGAACCAGTGCACAATGGAGTGCAAGCGGCTGCCCAGAAGACTAAGCGGGGTAACCTTCTAGCACACAGGGAGGAGAACGAGAGGATAACCTCCTTGTAATGCTAGTATACCTACTATGGGCCAAGCTTTGGGCACACAGCAGTGAACAAAGCAGACAATCCTTGCCCTTGTAAAGCATGCAGCGCTCTATTTGTTAAAGGATACTGCAGTCCTGGATGAGCGCTGGGTGATATACGAACTGTTGAATCGCTATACTGTACACCTGAAACTAACGTAACACCGTATGTTAACTAGACCGAAATTAAAATAAAGAATACTGCAGTCCTACTTGCTCTGCTGATCAAGGATCTCAAGATTATTTCAGTGATTATAATTCTAACAGTAGTACTTAGGAGTAAGAGAAAAAGCTATAATTTATTGAACATCTACATTGTGCCCGGCACTTTACACATATTATCTCATTTAAATCCTTCTAAGAACCAGGTTAATGTTAAAGATGAGGCAACCTGGTCTCAGAATGTTAAGAGGAATTACACCTACAGCTGGTGATCGCAATCAGCTGGTCTAGGTGACGCCAAAGCCTACAATGTTGCATCTACATCCTGTTTCACTCAGAAAAAGGCAGGCTTTGGCGGCCAGGCAGATGCTGATAGGGTACTACAGTCGAAATCTCTGCCCTGAGATATCTCTAGCTCCCGTAGATCGCTCCATTGAACGACGCAGGACTCAGAATGCCAGCCAGTCACCAAGGTGTCTTACCTTCAGGTGATAACAACTGCAGTCATTCACCTCAATGCCTGCAGTGGAACCGGGTGTCTGACTTGCCCCACTGCACTGAAACCTAACAGCTCACTTGGCAGAAACGCAATCTGAGGCTCAGAGAGGGCAAGCCTCCAGCCCGGAGAGCTCCAGCTGCTCAGAAGCACAACTAGGTTTCAAAGTCACACCTACCAATATTAAACCTAGCCATACCCACGCCCACCTACATGCATTTTAACCTGTGGGCTTTCACTGAGGCACCTTGAGATAGCTCTCGTTCCATTCCGCCAGCTAACAAACACCTCCTGGTCTCTGAAGACTCAAATCAGGCATCACTGCCCCTAGAGTGGCAACTCAGACTTCCCTTTTTTTCTGCCCACCATCAGTCAGAAGTTTTGGGGGAGAGAAGAGACTCTGTATTAAAGCAAATAGCTATGAAGTCCACGTGTGCTTCAGACTTCAGTCACATCAGGGTCTAAGGAGGTCTTTAGGGCACCTCTAATACTCACAGTTCAGGACGGTTTCTGCAAACATCGTAGCAAATATGCCTCCACCAGATCCCCAAACTGCCGTCCAGCCTTCTTCGAAACCCAAAGGAAAAGCTTCTGCTGTGGCAAAAGCCCCGGGCAGGACTTTTATTGGCCCTATTTAGGTCAGGTGCCCGGTCCTGAGCCATTCACTTCGGCCAGGAGGATGTTGTGCTCTGATTGGCCAAGCCTGTGTCACATGACCACCATGTAGGGACGGACTAGCCCCCACCTTAACCATATGGACTGAGAATGGGGGAGGGGTGACGTCTCCAAAGGAAATGTTGGATGTTGTTACCAGACGGGGAAATGATGATCAGCAGGCAAAAATAACAGATGTCCACTGCACACCCAAACCCAGGCTGGATTGAATGCCCAATTTCATCTTCAGAACCAAGTTTCGTGCGGGGATCTTTGTTACATGTAATTTTTCTCCTCCGGTAAACCGTGAACTCTGGAGCACACGCTCTGTCCTTCTCTTCCTTTAACTCCAGCACCCCGCCTTAGTGTTGGACACGCTGGAGGTATTCACATCATATTTGTTGAATGAATGATCAAATGTATTCATTAATTTATGAAAAGCTGATGGTGTTATTTCATCTACCAAAGACAGCGTTGTGGTGAGGTGGAAAGAACACAGATGCGAAATCAGTATTTCTTAAAATGTAGTCTGGGAAATCAACGACTTCAGGTTAAAATACAGATTTCTGGGTCACAGAGCAGATCTGTTGACCCGGCAGCTCAGTAAATGGGGCTCAGGTGAGTTTTTGGCCAAAACCTTTTGTGATTCTCGCGCTCATTCTTGCCAGAACTGTGGCACTGGCATAGTCAGACACAATCACCTGAGTGAGTCTGCACTCCATTGAGTTCCGGTGTGTGAGCTAAAGGGGACCATACCTGCTCAAGCAACTTCTTCTGTTCAACTGCTCCTTAAAATGGGGCTAAGATAACCTACCAAATAAATGTGTAATGAGCCAACAAGATAACACGGGTAATGTTTCTTTATAAAGTGCTGTATTCCAGTTTCACTACTTGGGTTTTTGTAACCATAATCTCTAACTTCTGGAATTCTTACTATGTATGTTCCAGGTGCTGTTCCAAGTTCTAGTTATATGTGTTAGCTCATGTTAGCCTCACATCTACCCTGTGAGATAAGGTGCTCTCTCTTGCCTTTTTTGAGATATAATTGACATACAACATTATATTAGTTTCAAGTGTGCTAGGTACGCCTAATATTCCTATTTTGCAGATGAGTAAACAGAGAGAAAGTCATTTTTCCTGATAAACGGCTGAGCTAGCTAGGATTTGAACTCAGCTGGTTTGATGCCAGACCCAGGCTCCTAACCACTGACTCCACTTTCATTGATAGATAATAGCTTATCAGTCCCTAGGCATGTACCACCACCATGCACTTTGGGAGGGGGACAAAATGCGGACAATTGAAACTCCTGGAGGAAACAGAGCTCTAAATATGGCCTAGGACTGAAAAAACACTGAAGAGAAAACACAAACAATGACAATTGTGTGGCAGGTCATGTGGCCTTGCTAGGATGCCTCGGCGCAGAGCGAATTATTTCAGTCTCTGGTTCATCTGCAATCGAAACGTCTCGTTTTCTCTCCTTTCCTTAAATGCACCTTTCTAGATTTTATAACACTTCTGCGCTTTGAAAACCAGACCTAGTCTCAAACCTTAGATGACTGTTTTTATTTTTATTTTGAATCGGTATACTTCTTCTTCCTCATTCTTTACTTCCAGACAGCAATATATTTTTTCCATGAAGCATGAGCACAGCCTGAAGTGCAAGCCAAGCCCTCAGAAATGTGATAGCTGTTACCAAGGATTTGAGAGTAAGAATACAAAACCTAGAATCAAGTTTTAAATGCTGCACTCTAGTATCTGAGATGGCACTGGTCCCACGTCAAAGATGGAATAAATAAGGCATTAAAAAAAAAAA